TGTATGCCTTACGGGCAAAATCATAGAAATAGTCAGAGAACAAAAAAATAACAGTGGATGTAGGAGTCGCTTGTTGAGCATCCGAACCACTATAAAAACCCCCTCTTGCCAATCTTTTATTTATTTTTCTGCAAAATATATAATCTCAGCTCCATATTCAAATCTCAGGGATTCATTCACGTGTGATTCCTAAGTCCGTTTAGCGCTTCTCACGTGCGAGTCGTTGGCGTCCAAAATCAAGAGTCAACATATATATATATATAAGATATATATAATATATTAGTAGTAGATATATATCTAATTATATTTATATATATATATATAAATGTCTAAGGAGGATAGATTTTAAGGAGACCGTTTGTGACCCCTCCAATGTTTTCTTGGAATTTTCCTGGTGCATACATATTGAATAATTTTCAATACTTACTACTATCCTGTGTTATTGAGTTTTAACAACTGGTTTCAAAGCTCTCATCGCCTTTATCAAGTTTCCGCTAATCAACCCACTTTAGCCCTAAATTCTACTTCAACTTGCAAGACACATAAACACTCGAGTCAGATAACTTCTTTCATAATCAAGTTTTCGCTAATCAACTCACTCTAGCCTTAAGTTTTGCTTCAGCTTGCAAGACACATAGGCACTTAGGTTAAATAACTTCTTTCATAATCAAGCTTCTACTACTTAACCCACTCTAGCCGTAAGTTTTGCTTTAGCTTGCAAGACACATAGACACTTGGGTTAGATAACCAAACAAAGTCAAACACAATTTCAAAATCCTTTCTCACATTCTTTCTCTTAGCCTCTCCCTTCTCTCCTATTTAACTTTCTTAAGGAATAGCCAATGGACAATGGTCAGTGTGCTTCTCTACATGGTTTACCCAAGTATAAGCGGTGGAGAGTTTTTGTTGTTCCTTCCTTGGAGATAGTCCCTCAACGGTAGTCCTCTCATGTCACTAGACCCCCAATTTGGACAACTGACTATGTTTGTCCAACCATTCCAAATCCCTCTTCGGGTACTACTTATTCCACATCTAGTGGTAGATAACATTTGTATCTACTATGCGAGCTTGAAGTTTATGACTTATACAAACCACAAGCTTGAGGGGGAGTGTTGACATACGAATATGCAATGTTGATATTCTATTTCCTTACCTAGGAAGATTACAAACATTATTATGAGATATTTCATTTCCTTAGGTTGGTGATATTGTGTTTCTTTACCCAGAGAGATTACAATTATTATGGCAATATTATGTTTCCTTACATAGTTACTGTACTTTTGTATAAATAGGTTGTGTATTTACATAACAATTCACAACAACTCAATACAAATAATTCAATTCAATTGAATATAACTATTATCTCTCAAAGATATCTCTCGAGCATACTCAAACTCTCTCCAACGGTCTCTCTTGCCCTCTTAAAGATGTCTCTCAAGCACACTTCACCTCTTTTTAATTGCCTCTCTTTTCCTCTCAATTTTGACATTTTTCTCTTTTTACCCATGTGTGGGTAACCTAGATGGTTAGGGTGAATTAAAGATAGTGTAGATAGACGTACGGTCTCAAGTTTGATTCCTCATATAAGCATCATGATTTAAGTGGTGGGTTGTAGCGGTGGGTTGTTGCGTTAGTCTCCTCCGAGAAATAGTCGAGGTGCAAGTAAGCTGATTCGGACATATTTGTTACCAAAAAAAAAAAAAAAAAAAGGTATTTTTCTCTTTTTTATTTTTACAAAATTATTTTTGTGAGGTGAAAAATTCAACTTACTGTATTTGTCAAACCTAAGCCCAAAATTCTAACCTAATTGAGGAATTCCTTTTTTAAATCACAAAGATAATTCTAATGTTAGAAAAGGCGTCAGTGGGGTTATCCGCGTAGCCTCTCTAATGCTTAAGTCAGCAAATTACACTTGGGTATGAGTTTAATTGACAGAAGTTGCTGATTAAATGTATCAAATACTTTTAAAAGAAAATGTTATTTTGTATGAAAGTACTTAGCATAATTGATCATCCTAATTTGTTGATGCCGCGGTCCTTTATATAGTGCCCTTAGGAATGATTGGTTTTTAACTATCGTGCATGTTCATTAACTGCTCCCTCCCTGCTCGGCGTGGTAGTTATGCTTGTAAAGGTCCTTTCCATGCTCAACCTGGCGGTTAAGTTTGTAACTCCTCCCTCCATGCTCGGTGTGGCAGTCATATCTGTAACCACATTAGCCACGTTCTAATCCGTGCTCAACGTGGCAGTTTTCTTGTAACCGCCTTAGCCCCTCCCCTTCGACTGCCTCAGCACATCACTCTAATTTAGCTCTTGTTGGTGTAACAGTTTTGCGTGTTTAATAACTTTCCTTTTTTTGGGCTTCTTTAGGCTTTAATGTTTGGGCTTTTGTGTGTTGGACTTATGAATTCATGACCCATTATTTTACTGGGCCTTTTTATTTTCATCCTACAATTTTTATTATAAAATTATTAGAATATTTTCACTAAAATTGAAATGAATGTTGTTATTTAAGCCCATCAAAACTCAAGTCTCATATTGAATAAATTAAAATATATATTCTATTCCAATGTTATCCTTATGTTCTTCCTCTCTCATCTTAACCTTCAAAAAAATATATGGAAATTTAGATAACGTATCATACGATCAACCCAAATAAAGTTAGATACAATTATATACAAAACCCTATTCCAAACCAAACTAAAAATATTTTAATTCACAAAACATAAAATAATATTATCTCCTTCCATTGACTTCGCATGAAAGTGAATAAAATCTGGTGTGCAAATCTCAGTTTTTTGTTTGTTAGATTTAAAAAATATAAAGAGATGTTAAATAATTCCATCTCGTATCTTTTTTTTTTTCATTAACCAGTTTTAAATCTTTTTTTTTTTCAATTAAGATACAATTTCTTTTATACTTCAATTTTAAACTTAGATACAGTTTCTTTGTAATCCAATTTTAAGAAAGGTTAAACGGGAGTAGTTTCTTTTATGAATAATACTATGTTTACAATAGAGTTATACAGTTAGATGAAAAATTTACAAGATTTATGTGAAATAACTACTATATCGTATGTTTTTTATCTGATTGTATGATTCAATTATAAGCATAACATTATTATTCTTTTATACTCCAATTCTCCTTTTGAATAATGTTTTATTTATGATAGTATCTAGTATTATTTAGAATCCAATATTATTTACAATTCCTTTAAAGATAGATAGAAAGAAGATGAGGGTGTTTTTTGAAACATAATTTTATTTAATTAAATATTATTTAGTATGGGGCCTGAAAAGGGTTTTACCGGGCTCAAATAACACCACTCGTTTGAAAATAATGAGTAAAGTTATATCCCAAACCCACTGAATCCAACAGATTTACCCAGTATCAACCCAATCATTTATAGGTTTGGTGGCTACCCGTCCCATTGCCCAAGTTACTGCTAATTACATTGGGCCGAGTAGGAACCCAACCCAATGGGTAGTTCTACAGTCCTTAATTTTCTTTTTCTTTTTTCTGGACGTGATTTTTAGATCCATTCCTTTGTTCATTAGTCCCTAATTAAGGGGTAAAATTGTAAATAAACGAGTTAAATCTCCCGCTTTACAATAAACCTCCGACTCTCTCTCTCCTTTTAAGATATCAATTTTATTCAAATATTAAATTAACAAGCAATTAAATCATTTTAAATCTGCTTATAGATTATTCATGTAATTACTTTGCAAATTCAATATTATTCATAGAGATATATATAATAATAATCCTTGTATAATAATCATCACGCAATTCTTGATAATAACTACTGAACTATGTAATAGAAAAATGTCAAAGTCTTGCTTGAACTGAATTCTACCGAACCTGAAGTTTTTTATTTCAGAAATAAAAAAAATAATGCAGATTTTCTTTTTAAAAAAAAATGAGACTTATAAAAAGCTCTACTGGTCTGAAATAATAACTATCTTAAAAAATTAAAAATAAAAACAAAAGTGCTAAAAATGGGCCAGTGTCGGTGGTTTGGTTGTCCGGTCCCCCTCTGCATTGAACTTCTCAAATTTTTATTGTGTTTGCTTTAAAGAATTATAAATAGATCAATGTATCTAAGACAAAAACATCTTTTATATAAATAAAAAATATTTTTATTAATTTTAAATTATAAATAACTCAATTTTTATTCAAATCCAATAAACTCTTTAAATTTAATGAAGATGTTCTTTATTTTTAAAAATAAAGATATTTAATGAAAGAGAGAATTAACAAATAAAATGCATAGAAACTTGTAGTTTATTAATTAAAATTAGGATAGAGAATGAAATTTGACTCTCTAAATATGGAGAGTCAAACCCACTCTCTAATTTATATTTTAAAGATAAAAAGTCTGTTGGACTCTTGTTTTCCTGGATAAACTCTTTATAATAAAGAATTTGAGTTATATAAAGAGTCATTTGAAGATGCTCTAACATATGTTATAAGATTACATTCACAATAAACCTCTTTTCAGGTCAACTTACAATTTCAATGTAGATATTTCTACTCCTCAATTATTATATCATTCTACTAATCTAATTCTTATGAAAATAAAATGTATGATTTAGCACATGCTCTGTCATTTAAGTCAACTTCTGCACGAACTTGTACCTCCTAGATTGATAATATTCTTAACTTTAATATTACGATGCCATAATTGTCAACATGTTCCGAGAAATGTGATTGTAGATTAATATAATCTTCCTCATTTTGAACTTAAACTAAGAGCAAATCACGGCAACCAATGAAGAGTCAAGTGGGATAGAACACAAACATCAAGAATTTTTTAAATTTTTTTAGTCGAATTGTGAGACTAAGATTTGGAAAAATACATGACATTAAGACACATCTCACGGCTAATTTAGTGGCCCTATAACGTGGCTTCTTTCTTATCTTCTCTTTTGTTCCCACTTGTGGACTTTTTCATTCTATATATAATTAAATCCATTTCTAAATGCTTCTACCACATCGAAACAATGGCTAATTGGGTTCTCTCTTTTTGCTTAATTGCTCTCATTTTCTCTCTCTCCGATGGTGCTCCTGCAGCTCCTTCAGCTAGTACTAAATATCTTGACGGTAAGTCATTAATGATTTCAGTTTCAGCTTGAATGTGTAACTGAAATGTCATTATTTATGTTGCAATATTACAATATTTTGTAGGATTGCTTCCAAATGGCGACTTTGAGCAAGGGCCGAAGAAATCAAACCTTAACAAAACGCTGATCATAGGCAAATACTCGCTGCCCAAATGGGAAATAGAAGGCTTAGTGGAGTACATCTCGGGGGGACCTCAGCCGGGTGGGTTTTACTTCGCGGTGCCTCGTGGTGTTCATGCGGTAAGGCTAGGCAACGAAGCTTCAATTTCTCAGAGTGTGAATGTGAAGGCCGGAGTTATTTATACGCTCACATTTGGAGCCACGAGGACTTGCGCTCAAGACGAAGTGCTAAGAGTGTCAGTCCCTGGACAGTCGAGTGATCTCCCGATTCAAACACTTTATAGCAGCGATGGAGGTGACACTTACGCTTTGGCTTTCAAGGCTATTTCAAAAGTTGTTAAGGTGACATTTCATAACCCTGGGATTCAGGAGGATCCCGCTTGTGGACCTCTCTTGGACGCTATTGCAATCAAGGAGATGTTGCCTCTCAAATATACCAAAGGTCAGTTTCTTAATATTACATGAGATTTTATATGCGAGAAATAATTATATAAACAGTCTCATCACTTCCCTTAATTTATATATATTACCTTTTTATTGATGGTGTAGCTCAAATTTAAACATAATTTAAACATAGAAAAATAATGTTATTCTCCATGCAAGTGCAGGCAACTTGGTCAAAAACGGTGGGTTTGAAGTGGGTCCTCATGTATTCAAGAACTTTTCAACTGGGGTCCTTCTCCCTCCCAAGCAACAAGACCTAATTTCGCCACTCCCTGGATGGATCATCGAATCTCTAAAACCAGTTAAATACATTGACAAGAAGCACTTCTTTGTGCCCTCAGGATTTGCTGCAATAGAACTGGTAGCAGGAAGAGAAAGTGCCATTGCTCAAGTCATAAGGACAATCCCTAACAAATTCTACAACCTTACATTCACCATTGGAGACGCCAAGAACGCTTGCCATGGCAACATGACGGTCGAAGCTTTCGCCGGAAATAAAACTCTCAAAGTTCGTTTTCAGTCTCAGGGAAAAGGAGGATCCAAGACAGCAAGTTTAATATTCCAGGCCTTATCTTCCAGGACAAGAATTACATTTTACAGTGCAAATTATCACACCAAGCTGCATGATTTTGGGCATATGTGTGGACCTGTTTTGGATGATGTTAAAGTTTCTGGGTATCATGTTTAGTTAATTAAATTTGGAAAATGGGGACAACCCTTTTGGAAAAATTTAAAATGGCCTTGTGATTGTGAGCTATTTAAGTTATATCCCAATGTTTTGACTGTACTTTATGAATTTGAAAGATTCTATCTGCCCAATATAAAGTGAAATAAAAGAACATAGAATTAGAGGTACATCAAGTACATTTTGACCCACAAGACAAAGTTATGCATCAATTTCAAGTCGCCAACATTAAAGCGTACTTAAAAGTAACTTCGCATTCTTCTATGGAGAATAGCCAAAGGCAAAACATAAAAAAAATTCGCACCTTATACTTTTCCAAAATAACGTCTCATTAATTAATATGTGATCTAAACCTGAATTAGGTTGATAAGTTGACCAATTAACTAATAAAGTAGGGGTCATGCTCCCATACTTTATGTGGCGTTTACTTCGTGGATTGTATGAGGCTGGGTATGCAGATGGGGATAGAGTGAGAATGGAAATATATGAAAGAATAAAACATGATTGCATTGTTTACTTGCAACAATGAATAGTGATGGAACGGAATAAAATTTATAATTTTTGGGACAAAATTACCTGTAATTTTAAATGATTATATATGTATATTTTGTCATTATATGAAATTCATCATACTTTAATTAAACATAAATCAAACCACAATTTAATATATTTAAATTGGAATTAATTATTATAAATAAAACCAATATGGCATTAACTTATTTTATTTCATACATATAAGAGTAAATGACATGTTCCAACCCAAGGCCTGTGAAATGGCAAGTTTTCACCTTTGGTTTCATAAATTCCATACTTACACCCTTAAGTTAATAGAAAATCATTTAATATATCAACTAAAGGGTAAAATGGTAATTTGAAATAAATTAAATATGTAATAAATTTGTTTTTCAAAATAACCCTCCACATCTCAAATTTCTCTTACAAGCACCCCAAATTCACAAAAACCCACAAGAAACCCTAGGAGAGGTTGTCAGCGATTGGAGAGCTAACTCGATCGAAAATGTTGAGGCTTTTAAAAAGGAGAGGCCGGTGAGTCTATGGGTTAGTGAGAGATTGGATACTAGTGGTCGGGTTTGGTTAGAAACGGAGGGACGGTTTCATGAGCCACAAATTAGCCAAAATCTGGCAATTGGTGTAGTCTACGGGGGCGGGGTAATAGGAGTTTTGGTGCGTGAGGCACGAGGAAGAGGATGGTGGCAGTGGGGAAAGTCGTCGTTGCAAAAAATGGTAGACAAGTGACCGTGACCTCCTCGACTACCCTTGGATTGGTCGGAATCTGTCGTCGACGACTCTCCCTATCACCACCATTTTTCTCCTCACTATCCCCCCACCAAAACCTTTCTCATTCCATGCCCGTTTACCCCACCATTTGCCATTCGCCGTTCATTGTTGGAAAATCAGGTGGTGGGCAGGTTGGTTGTGGGAAAGGTTGGAGATGATGGGGAGTCATCGGCAACCAGGAAGTTACACACAACAACAATAAAAACCACTATAATTAGTAGGAAGCTGCAATCAATGGAAAAGGCCGCAAGCTGCACCAAATCGGTGCAAAAATGTAACTGTCGTGCAGAAAACAAAGGGTGGCGGATGGCGATCAGCCAACAACCACAGTCTTGAGAAATATGGGTTTTGAAGAGGAGAGGCTAGTGATGGTGATGGTGGTGGTGGTGATAGGGGGAATTTTGATTGAAATCTGGTCCCGAAAACAAGGAAATCGCGCAAAGTTGCAATAGGTGGCCGACGACAATTGGCGAGCAATGATGGGCAATGATGATATGGGTTTTGTTTAACAGGAAGTCACGAGTCTGATGGTGAGGTGAGGTGGGATTTTGGCATGGGAAATCGGTCAGAATTAGCCTCGAAAGACTACAAATCACGGTAGAGACGGAGGCAGAAAGGAGGTGGAGAGATTTGAGATGTAGGGGTTAAAAAAGTAATTTACTAATTTGGGGGCTAAAAATTGCTAATTGTGTTGGTTTAAGGGTGGGAATATGGAATTTATGAAATCAAGGGTGAAAACTTGCCATTTTGCCAAACCTTGGGTAGGAACAATCTTTTACTCTACATATAAATATTTTTTTTTTTTTTCAAAATTTCAAAACTGATCAATGTCAGTCAAAGTTATTGGACGACAACGTTCCTTCACGTTTTTGGCGTCACCGCCAACATGTGAAGGATTTCTTCCCATTGATCTCCTGATGTGGGCAAAAATCGAGCATCCAATGTCGAAGTTGGACATCATGTGCGATGGTTGTATCTTTCGTCGCCGCAATTGATGTCCATACACTGGTCTTCAGTGGCCAATTTTTGCCCGGATTAGTAGATCATCAGACAAAAATCCTTCACTCGCTGGCTATGATGCTGAAAACGTGAAAAAGGCCGCTGACTGGCAACTTTGACCGGCGTTGACATGTTTTGAAATTTTTAATTTTTTTATTCTTTAAATAAAAAATTTATTTTATATTTTAAAATAAAATGAAATATTTAATTTTTTTAATTTAATAATTATTAAATTGTAAATTATTAATATTTAATTGAAGGGATGGATACTTTATTTATTTATTTATTTTTAAAAAAGACAGAAGTTTAATTTCTATCAATCAAATGACATTGAATAGTGAGACACAAATACACTTAACTGTGATTCGGGCTATTTTAGTCCTTTACTATAAATCAAATTAATAAGATTTAAAAATCTAAAAAAATTAAAAAAGAATAAAAAAAATGAAAAGTTGAAAAAAATAAATAGAAAGGAAAACTTAAAAAATAAAAGTAAAAACCTTAAAAAGTCTGAAAAAATTTGAAAAAAAAATTCGAAACATAAATTATAAAATTAAACAATATGAAATATGAAATAAAAATAAAATTTGGAAAAAAAATTGAGAAATTGCAAAAAGAATTCTAAAAAAATTTGGAAATTAAAAATGAGGTGACGTTGCCAACTAGCCATGATAGGCCAATTACTTGGTAGGTGTGATCCAAGCCGAGCTAGCACCTGGCCAAGCAACCTTGGCCTGGCCACCTAGGGCAGGGCACGATCTAGGCCAGACGGCGCTTAAGTAAGTGGCCTGGGCGTAATTTAGGCTAGATCATTGATGTGGAAAAAATTTTTTTTTTGAAGTTTCATTTTTTCTTGATTAAATAATTTTTTTTATCTATTTAAATTTTAAATTTATTTTGAATTTAAATAAAAAATTATTATTAGGGCATTTATTCATTTTACGATAAGTAGGTCAAATTTAACTAGAATTTATTGTTATGTGTCCTCTTTCTAATAGAAATAAAACTTCTATCAATTTTTTTGTAGATTTTTTAAAATATCTGTCAGTCGAATGATACTACCCTTAATTGAATTATAAAAGGATATTATAGAAATAGTTATTTGAAATAGGGGCAAGGATGGAATTGACTAATTTTTGTTTTTTCTTTTCCACATTGTTGAGTGCGGAAGTGGCTCTGATACAATTGTTAGGTGCAGAAGCAATAAGCCAATAACTATGATATCGTTGTTTTCCGGAACCATTTGTCCACTAACATACTAGTCTGGACCAACCATGATTTAACACACACATAAATCAATAAATCGAAACAACAAAGAAGAAATGATTTTAGCGTGGTTCAGGTGTTAACTAACCCTACATCCACGTGATCTCTCCACATGACCTTAGCTCTGCACTATTACGAGATTGTACAATTACTAAAGAACATAACACACACACCCTTACAAATACATACAATAGAGACGAGATTCAAGAAATCTAACCCCAATAACCCTCAGCATGGTTATACATGATTTCCCTCACACCATTTATCCTATGATGAAGAAACTATCTATTCTCTCCCAGATCATAATCCCCATGATTAGATCTCAAATCCTAATCCCTATGATTAGATCCATTTGTATTTGTACGGTAACAAACTCATCTCTAGAGCTTATGCCTTCCTTAGCTTGCCTCCAAAGCTGAGCGTCGTGTGTCTCACGAATTCCCTGAGCTCACCATCGTAACTCCCTAGAGCTACATCTTGAAATTGCCTATCATCTAACCTCCCTTGAGCTCGCCACCACCAAGCCTTCTTTGAAACTCCTTCTCGCGAAGCTTCCTTGAAACTCTCTCTCATAGAGCTCCTTTGAAACTTCCTGCCTAAAAGCTTAATGATCACCTTAGCAAGGTGGAGTGGAGATGGCATCGAAGACTAGAACATCTAAATGAGTAAGTCCTTTTAGTCGTGAGCAAAGAGAGGTTGTTTTGGAAGAGACGACTTGAGGTATATCAGTTTGGAAGAAACCACCTCAGCAAGGTTAGTTTCTTGAAGACCACTGTTGTGTGTGATTTTCCAACCAAGCTCGGGTTACTGCGAGGATGTAGCTCGACCCAGGATCAGTCTAATTCCACTGGTTGTTCGACCCAGCATAAGCTCGTCAGCATATAGCTTGACCTAGCACAAACTAGTCACGAACAACCCGAATGATCATTCAATCAATTCCCAGATAACTTCAAATCCCAAATATTACGAGAATGACTAGATCAACAACAATATCTGCGTAATCATAACGCCCAATCGTGAGAATATCATAATTGCAATTCAGATCAATTGTAATTTCTTTATTTTTGCTTTTTCCTTTGTACAAACCTTGTATATAAACCCCCTCAAATGATGAAAAAAGGGTTATGATTTTTCCACAGAATTCTCATTATAAGCTCTCGCAGCAAATACAAAAAACAGTGGAGGTAGGCTCAAGACTTTACCTCACTGAACCACTTTAAAAATTCTCATTGCCATTTACTTTATTGCATTCAATACTTGATTGTCGCTAATTATCCGTAATCACGCGCATATCCATTCTGATCCCACCAAGGTCGATCGAAATTCTTTAGGTTGGTGCAGATTTCTGTATCAACATTTTGGCGCCAGAATGAGGGCCTCTACCAACATCACAACAATTCCTATGAACAGTCGCGACAATCTACCCAATCCAAGCCCACAATGGTGCACACTAGATCAAAGACCACCACCGGAAACCTTAAGAATGTGGAGACCACCCACTAGGGGGTACAACAAGACACCGTTGGATGTTGACCACCCATGCCGCCAACTCAGCATGTCACGAATAACCAGGGGGTAGGGATGTCAAACCCCAAAAATGGCCAGCTGGTGGAGATGA